CCAGTTTCCTATCCTCCGCAGGATATGCATAAACTAGAACACGTCTGCGTGAACTAAATAAATCGCTTTTTCCCTCACAACGATGACATTCCTCTCGCCGTGCTTTAAAAAGATAAAATAAAATAATTTTCTTTTCATTTGTAAATATATATTATATTAATATTATATTCTTATATTATATTAATATTATAATATTAATATTAATATTAATATTCTTATATATTATATTAATATTCTATTATATATGTTATACGATGAATTTTTTTTTCTATTTTTTTATATTGATATCAAGCATTCTCGTAGAGGAAAAAACAAATTATCGAGTAAGATTCATGCATTATGCGAGAATTAATAAATACATAGTGATATGCGGATTCCGCTGTAATAGAGTTCAAACGTCTGTGAAATTCAGGATTTATAGATCATGCGATTCGATATGTGCATTCGAGGAATCTTTAGGATTCACGTGGATCTAATAATCAGTATTTATGCTTGTAAACTTTATCGGCGGATCTATAAATCAGAGAAGTAGCGCCGACGCGTTACTCGACGCGATGCGAATTCGCGGGACAGCAGCATCGTTAAAGTCAATTTCCAAGCTTCCGTCACCGACGCACAATGGTGTTGAAGCGAACAAAAGCCCGACTCTTTGAAGATGTATGTGTGTGTGTGTATCCGTATAAATATATCTGCATAATCTCAAATAAACTAATGAGAGAAAGTCCGTGATAAAAATCTCGGCTTGCTAATTACTTTAATTAGTTTATTACCTCAAATAGCGTTATACGAGGCAAGTCCTCTTGTACATGTCTAGTAAAGCTCCTTTAGACACCACCAGTGCAACGCTCCGCTCTATTAACGAGGAAACGAGTAACGGCATCGTTCGCTCGCGCGAGTTCCGGCTGCGATCTTCGAGAGCCGGAGGCTCGTCAGGAACTCTTCATGGAGCCCACGTTTTACTCCAACAGGAAGTCACGTCGCCGGAAATCGTGTCGCGAAGTAACGTTACCTGGTCGTGCCGGAAGCTGCGATTGGAAGAAGAAAGAGGGTGGGAAGGAAAAGAGAGATGCAACAGGACAGACGGACGGGGCGTAATTGAGGATTATTTCGTTCTAGTTCTTAATCACCTAAGTAAGCGTAAGAAGCGTCGCGTTTCTGCTCCGAGTGTTATTAATACCTACCTGTAAGAAAATTCTCCTCGACGTTGGCTGCCGGTATAATTAAGTCAAATTGACATTTAGATGAGAAATTAATTGGTAGTAAATTTATGCACGATGTTCCTGCACTCTACCGATCTTACTATTGATCGTGGATTACGTAATCTAAAATTGCAATTGACTCTTGCCATCGCAGCCATCGTTTACATTCGGCATGAAACAGCTCGAGATTGTTTGAAAAGCAAATTAAATTTTCATGTAAAATTTTACTTGAAATTATTGGCTCGTTACACACGTAATGGAAAAATCAGTTTCTATCTTCCATTAGCGTTTGCGAAGTTAAGTGTGCCAGAATTCGTTAACTTTCGACGTTTATGGGAAAAAGGTTGGCTTCATCGCCGAGGCGAACCTTATAAAGTATCCCGTGTAACGAGACTTTGCCAACATTTTCCCGCCTCAAGATAGCGAGAGATAACGAGCGCAGAACGACTTTGTTGTAATTGCTGCGTCGGATTGGATTAGATGGCAGGATAATTGGATATCGCGGGGGCCCGTCGATAATATAATGCAGTCTTTAAACTCGCGCTCTCTCGTTCCAAGCTCGCCATATGTAACTGTAAATGTCGGTTTTCACAACGACTGGATCGGTAATGAAAGTCGAGCGAGTCGGCCGGCCCTTCCTACGCGCGATGGTTTTATAGTGATCGACTATTCCTGGACGCGGGTCGTCTCGTGAATCAACTTTGTGGCTGAAAATATAGTATACCATACCAGCCCGAGCGGAAATGCGTGCATAGGTGCATAGGTGTACTCTGTCCAACGATGAAGAATGATATTCAACGATGATATTTCAACGGGTTTGAATTCTAAGAGAGGCGAGTAGGCTTATTTTACGGAATTATCCTTGACAAGCTTGCTTTACCCAACAATTTAAACCAATGATCAATGATCCATAAATTTGTATATAGCGAGAAAATTCCACATTCAAGACTTTGTCTATTTAAGAATAATATAAACTCGATTTTAAATATACAAGCTCGTAAATCTCGAAAGGTGAAAATTTTAGATTAAATTCTAGGTATTTTTTTCATAATTGATTGTCCATTCAACTGACAAGCGGGGGCGAGAGGAAAAATTGAGCGTTCACGTAATCAGATGTTGACGTCACCGCGATGATTTCATCCGTGTTTGTAATGCACGTGCCGTGAAATCGCGTTCGTGAGTAGAAACATAATCATTGCAGGAGCGGCAGTTTTAACCCTTGCCAGTGATTTCACTTCCAGACTATATCTACAACATCCTCGTTTGAATACAACTCGAACAATCTGATGTCGAGAGAAGTAGTTTCAAAAAATCGGTCTACAAGATTAAGCTTGTATTTTCTCTCTCTTTCTCTTTCTTTGTATTTCTTTCTCTCGATTGATAGAGCTTAAAGTTCACGCTTAATAATCATGATGTTCGCGATATTCGATTTCTCCACTTGATAAAAATACATGACACGACACAGCATCTGGCAGCGAAGCAAATATTCGCGTAAATGTTTCTCTACGAGCATGGCAGTCGATGATGTCATTTGCCGATCGTTTCGTATACGTAAGGCACTCAGGTTCTAGTCGTAACTATAATCGTCCGGAAAAATTGCGTCACTTCATCACCGTAAAACGTTAAATTCTCACAAGTATAAACTCTTCAATTCCGTATGCAAAATTCTTGTCGTATTTTGCGGTAAAATATTTTTATAGCTTTGTTTATAAACTATCATATAACGAATACGAATAAGGATTATTTTTTTTTTGCAAATTATCTCATAAGTTATTTTATAAAAAATAAGGAAATGAGTTTGACTCTTCTGACTTTAATCTTTATCTTTTTACGTCTGTATAAATTTTGCAGATATGAAGAATTATTTTCTGAAGATATTTTCCTTTATTCGAGAAAAGAATAGAGATGACGATTCAGAAACACTATTTCATAAACATTATTTCGTATCCATTGATGCATCGCTTTATGCATCTGTTTTATACCGTCGATTATACGTACTGATATTTCGGATACTCGAAGGAATAGATTTATCGCGAGCCGTCTGCGCTTCGTCTACATTATGCGAGCGGTGGGATTTATTTCGCTCTCGAGGCGAAGCCCGTTTCGGTCGTGCAGCACGAGGATGCTGCACCGCGTGCGAGCGCAACTGCGGGGCATGCAAATTTATCAATTTAGCGCCCCGGCATATTCAACCGCATTGCATCATTGCGCCGTAATCGCGACGGAACCGGCGGCCATCGTTGCACATCATTCGTCGTCGTACCAATTTTTCGCATCTCTTAAATTGCGTGAAAATGAATGAAACAAAACTAGGTCAATATATTTTGTCAATACATTTTGTCAATATAATTTGTCAATATAATTTGTCAATATAATTTGTCAATATATTTTGTCAACATTTTGCCAAAATAATATATTATTTTTTACATTGCTTTCTTTTTCTCTCAAATTTATGCAATAATAATTCTGCAAAATCTACTTCTGAAACGAAAAATGACTATTCGTATCCGTAATTATTTGAATGTTACTTTAATTTTTCGTTTTAATATTACCTCTATTTGCTCGAATGTTATCTTTAACAATACCTCCTTGAAATTGTCGATAGTGCAGAATGAATAATCGAGTACCTTTGAGTTTCTTGCTCTCTTTTATCAGACGGCGCCCACTTGTCATGCAAATGCAAACATGGTTACGCGTTCGCTTCCATCTGACCTTGACGCAAGGTAAAATGACTCACGCAGGTGATAAGCGCAATCGAGTTATCGCGCGGTTGTTGGAGCGTAGAATAATTGTGCGGATAAGCGGGGCTTTTAATTTTCTGATGCATTACGGAGTTCGAGTACACTTGCAGCGTGTGATTTTCTTATCACGCGTAGCTTGAGAGATATTGACTCGTCGGATCCTTATTTTACAAAAGCCAGTCTTATCGGATCGTTACGTGCACGCGATATCAAACTTGAATGTCATCTTCTCCGTGAATCATATCTTACATAACTGTATAACAATTGTTGTATATAATGATTTCATTTACTTTCGAAGCAGCTTTCGAGTCGCGAAATCCCAACTTTTCTTTTTTCTGAAGCAAATCTCTTCAGGAACAGCCTCGACATTTATTTCTCGGCGCATGTCGGTGAACAAGTCGTTGCCCTCGGCTCGTCCATTCTCGGGTTCTCACGCCCGCGTGTGCGTGATGTCACCTGTTCGCGAAAACAGGTGCCCATTGAAGCGAGAGACAAGATCGTTTCCTCCTCTCGTTTTCCTCGCTTTTTCCCGCTTTGAAAGGGAAAAAAAATCTCATCGTTGCTTCGACAGCGTCCTCTTTATTCTCGACTAATAGGCTGTTTGCAAAATTCTTTATCGTTTCTAGACTAATATGTCTAGCTCTTTCGGTATCAGAAACTATATGAATAATAAAGCCAGAGACGATCTAGTAGTTGTAGTAAAATGCGAGCTTAAGAAAAAGTTTTCAAAAGTAAAGCCTTTAAATCTGACTTTTTCAAGTCAGATTTAAATTAAACTGAAAATAAAATTACTTGGATAATTTTAAAGCACTGGTTTTAAACTTTGAAAAAAAAACGATAGGTTTTATATCAAAAATAATATTTTATAGATTGTATAAAAATATGTTTTTTTTTATAAAATAGTTTTATAAAAGTATATAAATAAAAGAATGATTTTATAAAAATATTTATTTTATAAATATTGTCATAGAAATAATTTATATTTATAGTTATATTTAATTTATAGTTATATTGAAGAAATTAATGAGATATTCTAACGATATATAAATTGCAATTTCAGGTAGTGATACTACTCTACCGATGCTACTCTACCGAGAGGACACTCCAGACATTCTTTCTATTTCGAGTACTTCTTTGAGTACTTCTTAGCGCGAACGTGAGTACATCAAATATGAATTATTTCGCATTTTATTCATATTAAAAATCAATCCCTTCCACGCTAAATTTCCCTCGATATCAACGTGAAAATTATTAGAATTAAAAATTTTGCATTGTTTGTTCTCTTAATGATAGAAATTTATTTAAAAAATATATGTAGAGAATTTTCACACCTTCGTATATTCCATAAATTACTAAATACGATTGAGAAAAAGATCTACTTGACATTATAAGAAACATAAAGTCGGTTAAAGGGTCAACTGGCCGCAAGCCCGCCTTGGAAACAGTCCGCGAGTGCAGCCTCGAAATATCCGTGACCGTGATTTGCCGAAGGAAAATCGAGTTCGTTCAGGTGTTTGGTAAAGTCGCGTAACGGGAGCGGATGGAAGCCGATTCAGCCATGAAATTCTTCACGCACGGGAGGGCTGCGGGGTTCTTTAAACCAAGCGGGGATTTGCATGGGAAAGGAGCAGGTTGAATGACTATTATCACAACTCGCAATGGTATCCATCGGCGCTCGCCACGAATGCACCTGTAGTTTAACTGCACGCGCGATGCAATCGAGCGTTTCGGTTCCGCGGAAGACTTCGGGAAATATCGCAAATTGACGGGATTGAGGGGATTAGGGGTGTATATATTCACTTCCTTTTTAGAGGCGGTTGTAAAATAAGCGCGTCGCAATTCTACGTCATTGAAATTATTAAAAGACTACTTACAAAGCAATTATTTAATTTTTTATTTTAAATTATTTTATTTATTTTTATTTATTTTATTTGTTATTTATTTTTAGTTATTTTAATTATTTATTTTAAATTATTTAATTTTTTATTTTTAATTATTTTATTATTTAATTTTTACTTATATTATAATTTTTTTTAATACAAATTTTTTTTATTCATAAATAATGTAAAAAATATTACATACATAGAAAAATAATTAAATTATTTTTAAAATATTGAAATAATTGAAATTTTCCGATATAAATATATTCCGTTATAATTCTATTACATTAAAAAGTAGAATACTTAGTGAGATTTGGGAATTTTTATCTGAAACTTCTCGATATAATTTTAAATTATAAGTTGCGGTGATCTTATCTATCTACCAGAACATTTTCTTTCCTCCGCAATGATCGGAAATGTTTTTCTGTCATGTTTCCTACTTAGTTCTTATCGAATATTCTGAGAGATACGAAGATGCTACGAGATAAATATTAAATTTCTCTTATAATTTATCGATACATGGTTAATATTCAATGAAAATAAATTTTATACAGATCTGCAAAATATTTTTATACATATGATATACATTGAATTTTGAAACTTTGTTTCAAAAGAGACATTATGTAACAGGGAATCTTAACATTAAATATCTTCAATGAAAAACATGGAGAAAGTTCTCCCGCAAAAGCAATTAGCGCTCAGAAATGGCCCAGCAATCGACACGATTACCCATCGGCAATCATGGCACTTCCCAATTTACCGCTTTTTGCGCAATCGATCCACTTTCGCGCATAGCCGTAAAAACTTGCAACCTGCTGCCCTCGATGTAACATTAACGACCGCCTACGAGTACATCGAATAGAAAATCACTATTTCAAGCGGTTAGAAATCCGAATTCGCATTTAGGAGGAGGGCTCGGAGAAACGAGAACGGCAGACCGATGCATAGTGAAAGATGCATGGCGCCTCGGGAGGACGATACGAATTGATATACGCGCGCGGCTGGAACCACAAGCGTCTAGAACGGAAGCGAACGGCTAGAACGGAGTAGAGTAGGTATAGCTATAGTCGGCCGTCTGCCTGTAACCTTTGCCTCGCTTTTGCGTCGTGCTCAGTTGCGGCCCGGCGTTCTACTCTGGCGAACCTTTCCTCCGCGTCGGATAAATACTTCTTGTGTCGCGTGACGAGAGTAATATTCATAATCGCGTTAGAAGTACCGGAGATAAACATTATTACAAGTCACCTGTGAACGTTACGTATCGTTCGACATGGTAATCTCGATTCTCCACTAGATATAAACACGACGTGCTCCGTGTCGGCAGGGGTTGATGCACCAAATTAATTTCGCACGAACGCGAATGTTGTGCCAATTGTCCGAGCTGTCATTAAATGCAATCGCAAATGTGCGATTTCGCACTTTAAACGCGCAAACGCCGACACGAGCGAAGCTCGTAGTCGTGAGATATACGAGCTTGCGACGTACGCGCGCTAATGAGTCGATGCGTGAAATCGCGCGCGTGAGAAACGCGTGACCGGGGCGCGTCTGAGCGTGAATTGAGATCGAGCTTGCGACTTGAAGCGGCACGAGAGAGATAATCGCTCCTTGAAGCTCTCATGTGTGAGTGATAAACGTCAGTTCCGTGAGATTTTAATGCATGAATGATTTGAATGATTTTGAATTTTAGTGACGTTTTCGCTTCTGATGTAAATGTTGCTCGATAATATTCTCGATCCAACATTTTCCGTAAATTTCCGAAAATATTCTTCCGCATCATTTTTGCGCGTTTTGCTTTAGTCAAAGAAATTAAGTATTTTTCTCTATCACTCTATCACTCAGAGATTTATTGCTGACATTTTCTGTTGCGTAATAAATAATAATTATGTTAAAAATACGTATATCTGTGTTCGTTAACGTTTTCCATTCATGCCTGCTTCTCCAACTCACATTTAACTTCGCGATCATCGATGCAATCTTCAATTATATTACTTATGCATCGAGTTGTACGTTTACGAGCTTAGCGTTGCTCTTAAATACTCGGCTTTATCCGATTCAATGTTCTCCAACATTTTTACGTCCGATATCGCGCGCAAGCTTTGTTGTCAAAGACGTGGCGGCGCCTAAAGATAGGAGTACGACGTCGGGTCTATGTCAGTCAGTGACTATGTAAACGCATTTAAAGCGGATCGTTTCGTTCGCGTGCGCTCTCGTTCCGATTGATCGCGGGTATTTGTGCAACGTTGTAGCGGGTGAATTCGATACAGTTACTTGCTGACGATGATGATGATTATGATGATGATGATGATGCTGATGCTGATGATGAGGATGATGATGATGATGATGATGAATGATGATGATCCGGAAGAGACTCTCGCGGCGCGACAAGGATATGCCGGTTTGACTTAAGAAGACGGTTGACTTATCGCGCTAATAATAGCGCAGACTATAGGCGCCACGACACGCGTGACTTCGTAAAATCCTTCGACCAGATATCGAATTGCGTTGGCTTAATCCTTTTAATACTCTCCAGGAACAATGCTCGCCATTGTTCGCTCTTCTCGTCGTTGTACGCTCTATGGAATCGAGCGTCTCGATTCGATATATTCTCGATTATTTAGCTCGATATTTTTGATTAAATTTCTCACAACAGTATTTTTTCCTGATTTATCAGATTATCAAGGTGTGAGAATTGCCAAGGTGTGATTGCTAAGAAGTGCAAATAATGCTGAAAATTTTTCATTTTATTTTATTTTTTTTTTTATCGAATCGGGTTGAAATTTTTATAATACAAATTTTCTTCGCTTTAATATTATAAGGATGTTTTGTACCTATTTTCAAAATATTGAGAATTTAATGAAAATTGTACAGAATGTCCTTACATATGTTTAGAATCTTCAGTACAATTTTTAAATTGATTTACTAAAGCATTCGCAAATTATAAGGATTTTAATTTGCACCGAATTAACATGTGTTCTTATGAGAAACATATAATCACGTCGATTCGAATGACAAAAACACATGGAAATAATATTCAGAATTTGTTTAAAATTTGCAAAAATGTAGTTTAGATACAGAGGAAATATTTGGTCAAATAATATGATACAAGTACTAACTGATTAAAAAGATATTAAATATAATTCAATGAAATTAGCCATGTATCTGACACAAGGCGAAATTCTCTGTCAAAAGTTAATCATTTCGATTAACAAAAAATTCGGAATATTTCAGTGAAAACGCAATAAATATTAAAAAATACATCTCTGTACTGTAGCTAAGATCAAATTGTAATATTCCACGCAATTTCTCATACTCAAAATACATCAAAAGTGAATATATTCGTCAATATTGATTTTCAGCTACTTTTTGCTGGGATTATACATACAAAGTATCCTTAAAATTCTAAGAATTTATAAAGAATAAATTTGGTTAGCAGGATAACTCTTCTTTGAAATATATACTGCTCAAAACAAGAGCATGATTATTTCTCTTCAAAAATCTATTAAAGATATTCGATTCTGTAAAACTTTCTACGACATGAAATAGATACATTCATATATATAAATGTAGCTTTTAACTTTTTTCAATTGCTAGCATTTGATTCGAAGCTATCCAAATTTCTCTTCCAGTGCTCTGTTTCGAGTAGTATATTATTAACTTATAACTGTGTCTCTCTCTCAGAGCATTAATCAACCGGTTTACCGTCATGCTCTTATTACCGCGAACGGTATACTTTTTCTATCCGCCTCCGACAACCCTCGATTGATCTCTTTTGTGTCGCTTCGTATTTTTCTTGCCGTCGTGTCGCGCGGTTAATGACTCCCGGCTTCCTCCTGGCTGTATCATAACTGAATTTCCGTATCCATGTTTGCCCTCGCGATCAGGTGAAGGAAAAAGGGACGATGCTGTCGTACATGCTGCCAACGGAAGACAAGCCACCACCCAGCAGCCAGCAGAACAATTATCGCGCGACCAGCAAGCTGCAGAAGAGCCCTATCGTGAGCTCGTCGCCCAGGAAGTGCGTGGACGCGACTAGAACGATGATCGTCTCCACCAGGATCGAGGATACGTCCGGCGATCCTATCGTCCGGCACAATTCTCCTCATCCGCCTTCTCGACCGATCGAGAGCCCCAAGCACAACGGCACCGCCGCCATCAACACCGCGAGGAAGTCGACCCTGCACAACGCCAACAGAGTCACCAAGGACGACAGCCTCTACAGCATCGACAGCGACGCCAGTACCGCCGGCAGCGAACGCAAGAACAAGATCCTGAACGGTGCAAAACACGCCAGCTTGAAGAGGTAAGTTGCTTTTTATTAAAAATATGTGAGAATCTGCATTGATTAAATTTCAGATATCCTGTGAACCAATCTGAAATTACTCAAAAATTATTCTGAGCTTTGAATTTGAGATTTGACATTTAATTGAATATATTTCGCGATGTTATCAAAAAAATATTAGGATTTTAATTTTTCATTAGAATTGTTATCACGTTGAATTCCGATCGAATCTGGTCAGAACCGAGACATTGTTCTCGTTTCTCACTGGAGCATTTGAGAAAACGTAAGATTAAATCGCGCGCTCTCTCGGAGCAGATTCTCGATGAATATGCGCCCCGGTTCTACTCTGTCGACGAAAACCCGTAATTATCCGCCTCGCGAATGCAAGCGCACGAGTTTGTCGAGTTTTACATGGCGTGTAAACGTCTGTTTGCGGAAAGAAAAGAGAAAGAAAGAGAGAGAGAGAGAAAGAGAGACCGTCATCATGTATTGGTTCTATAAGCTGACTTTCGCAACCCATACGAGACTTTTACGACATTTGTACGTGGGATAGGTCAGGGTCAACCTCGCGGGGACTTCGACGGTGCGTCGTAATGCACCGAGTGAAGTTTCGTTCCTACGACGTCCCGGGATTGTCTCTCGAGTGCACTTAATAATCCTGACAAGAGACACGGAATAGCGCGAGATGACCAACTGCGAAGTGACCAACTAACATGGAGTAGGAAGAGACTTGTTCTTGTCGAGTCTAAAATGTTAACTTTGATCTTTTGACATTCTTCGTTACATTTGGGACAAAATAATTATGACCATTGAAAGCCGTAGCTAAGAAAGTTAAGGGTGCGCTTAAAAAAATGAGCAATTTTTTATCAAGCTGTCATATAGAAAAATGAAATTTCTCGCTGTATTGATTTGAAAAGTGGATTTCAACACACAGGCTTTTATCGTCAGGATGCTAATTACTCAGCTGCGCACATATTCGTTTAGCGCACTTAAAATTATCGCGAATTTATTAGTTTCACGGTCACGTTTATAATTACCGTGTCTCTGATTATTTTATGATATAGCCATTCTTATACATTGTTGTATCATTCTTGTGTACGCATATGTGAGAAAATTACAAGTATTTCTGAGGGTAATAAAATGAAAGAAAAATTTTGTTTAACACATTTTCTGAATATTTCTTGATGAATAAATTATAGGACAAGACATACCTAAAGCGCAAATTATAGTATCGAAAATGATACAATATATTGATAATATTTTTTTAATGCGCTTTTGACAAAGAACATTTATGCCAACTTCGTAATAATACTGGCAACGACATTCGAATCATTCTAAAAAGGAGCTGTATGACCTGATCCATTGCCAAAACGCTGTTGCGTACATAGAAAACATCGTTGCGCATTTAGCGTCTATTTTTGCAAATGTATCAGCATATAAATGTTCTTGTGCACGTGCATCTAGATTTTTCTTACTTAACTCTTTGAGACCGTGTATTTTATTCTTAACGGATATTTTTCTAAAATTTATTTTTAATTTATTTTAACTATTTTTAACAGAAATTTAAATGATATTTAAATTTTACGGAGTAGCAATTATATAAAATATAATAAAACTTTATTGTATAATTTTTCTTTCTAATTTATAAAATGCTATTTTTATTTGTGACGCTTATATTAAGATAGTTAATATTAAAAATTGTGTATTATATATTATTATAAAATCACAAGAAGCAAAAATTAATATTTTCATTCTGATTTTTTCACTAAGAGAGGTACTAAGAGAAGTTATTAGAACAAAAATTTACTAATTTCTACTTTAAATGCACACATTATAGAGATGATTTCGTACATTTATTAATTTATTGTTTCATTAATATTATATAGTAAGTATTAGGCCTTGTATATATATAGTAAATATTAGTAAATCTATGAAAAGATTAAATAATAGTCGTTGACGCGAATGTCAAAGCGTAAAGAGATTGAAATGAAAGTGTTTTCTATAGCAAACGAGAACCGTGGGATTCCGTAATCGATTCCAGCAAAACCCAGACTATATCTCTCGCTAATCGACTGACGCCTCGGCTCACTGCGTTCGATACTTTACAAGCCATGAGAGTAAAATTATCACAGTCCGGCGCAGCAATTCTCCTGAGATTGAGCAAAAATAGACATTCTAAAAAAGTTTTTCTTTGACTATAATACAGGAATCTCATTGTTATTCTATTTACCATTCTTGAATTCATCATTTTAATTTAAATTCTTGAATTGGTTACAAATAGTTTTATTTTCAAGAAAGATACAATTAATTCGAAATAAATGCATTTGCGTGAAAAATTAAGATTCTTATCATAGTAATAATTTTTAATTTTTAATGAGTTATTATTTCAAATGCACTTTACACTTTTACTATTTACAGAAATCTAGCAGTTATGAAGATATTTGGATTAATGTTAAATTCGAAATTCGAAATTAGATCAGTTAAGAAATATGCTGTAAGAGAAAAAAATGTCGAGATTGTCTTAGATTAGAAATTGATCGGTATTACTCTAGAGAAAAGTGAAGTGAAAAATAAGAGGTGTTGCTTTTACGATAAAAGAGACGATACTTCCGTTCTAACGGCCTTCATGGATCAGAGGAAATTCGGAGGTCAGATCGATGGGAGGCTGCCAGCCGGATGACCTCGACCCCGACCCACCTCAATTCTCCATCTAGTTCAGGTGTTACGCCGGACCTTTTCCAGTTTCAGGAAGATTATAATAATATTATACCAAAATGCTATCTACATGATACTTGTTAAAAATTTTCGTGGGATTTTAAATTCAATCGCGTTAAAAAAATTACTTTTTTATTCTAATAAAATTTATACTTAATTGGATAATTTCTATCTTAACTTTGTTCTTTTTTCTCCATCAAGAAACTTAACATTATCAAGGATTTTGAAACAAAATAAAACCGTAAAAAGATCAAATGATAAAATAAGAGATTTAAAAAAATGTTGTCATATGCTAATGATCGTGAAAATATTTAATATAGTCTTCACTATCATTTTTTGATACAAAAATGAAAATATTATGCAAGTGAAAAATATCTGTCTACGAAAGCTGTTCAATTTTTTCAGTACATTTGCAAATCTAACACTTGAAACTTAAGTAGCTCTGTGTTTTTCCTTCGTGAATAAAAAATATTAGAAATTGCATATAATAAAAAGCTGATTTTAGAAAGTTGCATAAAAGAATCTTCAAAATTTTTTCTTTATTGGAGTTTTGAACAAAAATATCCTGGAAGATCAGGAAATTTTTTTACAAGATTTGAATAGTTATCCTAATATTTTCTTAAATATTAGTTTAAGATATAAAAAAAGTTTTTTTATACTGAATTAATTTAAAATATTTTGATAAAATATTTTGTTCCGTTGCTAAAGACTTTTTTTAATATTAAAGCAAAATATTATTTTATTTATATTCTATCTGCGTATATTATCCAAAATTACTTGTCTTATATTAGATTTGTTATTAATGGCCACTTTGTACAATAGTTTATTGCATATATCGATTTATTCTAAATGCAGAAGATGCGTAAAGAAAGTACAGAGATCTATATATACTGCAGGCTCTGTCATTTCACCCATGTGACTTTGACATATTCTAGTTGAGGGACATGGCCACACGGGGCAGCACCTTACTGCAATTTATTTTAACGCAGCAATCCAGCATTCGATAGTGTATGCAGTTGGCAATATATTTCTCGAATTTTTATTAAAAATGCATTCCTCTAAATTTTTTTAAATATAAAATGATGTCTCGATATGATTAATGTTCTCAGTGACAAAGAAAAATAAATTATAATCTAGATACATACTTAAGGAGTAAACAGACTTTATTTTATCTTAATATTGCCACAGCATTGCATTCGATAAGCAAAACAAAAAGAAGACCAACTATTTCTTATGCTGTCTTCAATGCGATAAATCGAGCGATACGATTTATCGATCTCTCACGATGTGTTGACTTAATTGATTCTTTGGCGCAAACCGTGTCGGGAAATTTATCCGGTTGTGGGATTAACTTTGTTGTAGCGATGAATAATAAGCCACATAAAACCGGTTTGCGCAGCGCTGGTGATCCGCTTAATGCTTTTCTATTTTATTAGTGCGAATGCCTGAAGTAAATGGCGCATCAATGCTATTTGATATCTTCTCGCAAAATATCAGTACAACTTGATGCTTGAACTCAATGTTCCAATTATTGACTAAATGAAGTGGCATAGAATCTAATCTATTTAATATAAATATAACTCATGAATGACCACAGCGTCTATTGGATGAGACTGTCGACAATTTCTTGGTCGAGGAATCGCTTCCGGAACGAATGATAAATAAGTATCGCAGTGTATACGGCATAGATTGCTCTCGACCATGCTCGATCGTAACCCGATCGCAGAATTTGATTTTGATATCGTCTCCGTGGTCGCCCCTTGCGGTCGCGCGATAGAAAACTGAGGTTTACTATGAGCATTTTTCGCGTGTAGTTAGATGTCGTCTGACCTGTTTCGATCGCATGCCGAATACAGAATACCCGAGATAAATTGAGATACCGTTCAGCTATAATGTTTTCTTAAGATTACACTCGAAGAAAAATCTTTTCAATACGACAATTTTTATTTTTATTATTTGAAATTATTTGAATTTTTTTTATTATGTGAAATATTTAGATTATTTATTTATGTAATTATTTCACTTATCTGTGCACATTTTTATTTTTTTTTTACTAATTTAGTCATTATTGTTTAGGGTATCCTTCGGCTCGAGCAAAGGATCCATGGTGGAAACTCTCGTCTATGAGACACCAGTGCAAGAGGAACCTGAGATCAATCATTTTTTGGACCACAACAGCCGCCTACTTCCTCCTATGATACCTGTGCCTGATACTGAGTAAGTAGCAGTCATATAAAATTATCATTGAAAATGTATTATACGTTTTTTTTGCATTAATATTTGCGTTTTGATATCAAAATTATCGCATATTCTCTGTCTTATTTTATTTTTAAACAATATTTTATATACGATACACTAGAAAAGAGCGATTAAGAGCCACCGCGGATGGTAATGCGTAAATTTTTTTTTAAGAATAATTATTCGCGAAAGTGTATCGTGTATCGTGTTGTTAAATATATAAAGAGTGTATCGTGTTGTTAAATCCATAAAGAGCTTAATTCTTTATCTATTTATTAAATTTACGCGGAGCTGAAAAGATCGCGTTCTCATGATTTCCATAGATTTCCATAGATTTATAAACAAATAGACGAGAGAGATATCGGTGTGGGGCTGAATAGCTCAGTGGTAAGAGCAGTCGTCCGACAAGCGAAAGACTCGGATTCGACTTCCGATTCAGCGACTTTCCCCCGATATTTTTTTCGCCTACATCTCTTCAGGGGGGTAAAGAGGGATTTTAGTATTCTCGAAAATGAGAATCTATATCTTGGTAAATGCACCAAGTAAAATATATGCATATGATTTGTCGCGTTTTAATTTTCGCGAATAATTATTCTTAAAAAAAAAAAAAATTTACGCACTATCATCCGTGATGGCTCTTAATCGCTCTTTTCTAGTATATCGTGTTGTTAAATACATAAAGAACATTCTTTATCAATTTATTAATTTATTAATATTTTATATATTGCTAAATTGAATAGCGAAATTTAATAGCGATCATGTTAATTTTATGAGAGATTATAATTAAAAATTTCATAATTTATTTATTTGTTTTTAACAATTATATTTGAATACAAAAATTTTAGATACATAACTTTATATACGTTACAAAAAACTTTTAAAGAGTGCATTGTTATATATTTTTCTAGAATTATAAATACAATATAATATATAACATTATGAATTTAATTTTTGATTTGTATACATTGTGATAATTTTGATTCGAGATAAACGAGAGAATTAATACTCTTCTTAGTATATCAAACATGACACATGCGTCGGTTTATTTTCCACGAGCAGATGGGGCTTCTTGTAAATTCGCGTCTCAAAGATTCAATCGCGGAAGTCGATTATCGTAGCAAATTGCATCCGCGAAAGCCGCCTACGCGCGTATGTGATGTGATATCATCCGGCGCACCCGGTACCGAAATAACGCGTATATGTATACGCATCGAGTAATACCAGATCGTGCGGAAATCGACGTTCGTAAATATCGAATCGACTCGTTAAATCAACGCTACGCATAAAATCCTCCCGAATTGCATCTCCGCTCGCGTTTAATTCGACATATGTTTATCGTTTAATGTAACAGGATACTAAATACGAATCGACGACGACGCATGCAAAATCAGTATGCATTTTCTAACGCATCTCTGTCTTCACGAAAAAAATTTTTACAGAGAAAGAGAAAAACAAATAAGCTATATTTACGATTTCTTTATTAATTTTTAAAATAATGAAAAAAGGGAGGCAAATATGATACAAAATATGTATGTATATTTTTGTTAAGTAATCTTTATACTTAATTACATAACACATCTTGTCAATTAATATGTTGGTATATAAATAAATTTTATTACAATTTTATTACAATTGTGCCTAAAAATTGTAAAACTTATATCGAATTATAATAACATTAATTGTATTAATATTATTTTTTTGTTGCATGTCGATTATGCTTTTTCGCAAAATCTTCCGATGTTCTATGATTGCATGTATATCTCAGCCGCAACTTATATCATGACCTATGTTATAGTAAAAAAACGTCACACACGTTATTAGATATTCTTGATACGAGTACCTCCGTTTAACCGGATCAAATGATAATGATTGCGCGATAATTGCCGACTATTAAAACATGCGTGGGTGAAGATAATTCTCGGGGAGACGCGTCGTCTCCCAGGAATGCAATGACATATTGTCAAAGATGACTTTGATCGTCTTTTATTATGCTTCTAAATGTGTTTCTTTCAAGCACAATTAATCTTCTAAAAAAAGATCTTTTATTTCATGTCGTATTTTAATTTTCAAATATATAAAAGATACATTTTATTTAATGCAAGTAATACAAACTATATCATTATTCGTGTTGCTTTAGTTTTGCAATAATAGAATAAAGTCAATTTTTAAAAAAACGATAACTACAAGAGTTATAAAAGAAAAATATAATTTCAGAAAATAAATATATCAAAACAAATATAATTTCAAAGAATTAAAAAAAAATTATTTAACTATAAATATAAGAATTTTCATATTGAAAAATTAATAAAAGCTGAAGCATTTAGAATATTTTATTTCTCTATAAAAGAAATGCAAAGAAGAATGCATTGTCGATTAAAATCGGAAGAAATTTGACAGTCCTTGATTTCGATGAACGGGTTATAACGATATTACATGTCATAATGATATTACGGGACGATAAGATTACGATACGAGCGTCTTGAGACAGTACTTTGATAATGCCTCGCAGTTGTTCGATTAGAAGACCATCCGTTCTGATCATAGCGCGAATATAATCTTCCTGGCAAGATACAAAAGACGTAAAGTAAAGTGCTAACTAAACGACTATACTTATATTTTTTTTATAACGAATCTATTCTCGTGCTGATGAGATCATCGCGATTTTTTACACGCGCGATTACGTACATCGAAGATTTTGCAATCACGCGCGTGATTCTCACGTTTAAAGCGCATGACCCCCTTCGGAAACTCGAGTCGTAATTCGCACGGTGAGTATTGCTACTAAATAATTCAGTAAACACGTTTCGACCCTTAGCTTTCCCTTATTTCTCGCTCACTCTGCGCTTTGATATGCATTTCGATTATTCATCAGATTTAGGTTTGCAAATAATTTTTTCAATTTAAAATAATTACTACCTTTAATTTTTGAATTAATGAATATTTCGTAACGAATATAAGAAAGTGAAAATATAAAAAATATTTTCTTTTTTATCAAATTGTTGTAAAGAAAATTTTTTTATTCTTCCCAAATGTAATATCACTCTTTCATACTTCTTTTTTTGTCTCTAGATCTTTGTTTTATGATATAGAATAAGCTATTTTTAATTCTTCCTGATGTCTCTCTCTTTATGATAATTTGATATTTAAAATAGAGGTTCTTGCATTTAAGGGAGGACATGCGTCTGAATAAAATATTCAAACATACATATTACATAAGGTGATGTAGAACGAGCGTAACAAACTTTGACAAATTTTTTGGCAGATCGTTCTCTAAATAAAAAATATCACACGAATATAGAACCTATTGTAATATTTACATAGTCATAGAAGATGTAAAATTTTTATAATAATAATTATAGTAATTTTATTATCATAATGAAATCGTTAATTATAATAAAATCAATGTAAACTATTGATATTTCATATTCTCTTGTTTTGATTTCTCAAAGATCACTTTCTATCAAATATATGTGATTTTTTTTTACTACAAACTTAGCAAAATTTTACAACTTCTGTAAGTGTTGAGAATAGAAAGTTCATATGATATTTATTTTCCTCAAAATGACCTCCCCAACAATCTGTCAAACTTTGTTACACTCGTTTCGAATCACCTTGTATTTCGTCACGAAAACACCTGTGCGGCTCGAAAAATCGATTCCTGCGAACGATCTCGCGGACAAGACGACAGATGCCGGCACTCTCTCTCTTTTCAAGCGGGTTCACGAAGAGAGGAGCGCCTCTCGTTCAATTCTCCGAGCGTGGCCGAGTCGCGCCGAAACCAGCCGAATATCGTTTGCGAATCATCGCCGGTGTTTCGCGTGTTAGTGCACTCACACATCCGGTACCGCGAGCAGTTTGCCACCCGCGCCTTTTCTTCCTCCCCCTCCTCCTCACGCCTCAAGCCTCCCTCACATCTTCCGTTGGCGCACGTCTCCTTAGCACACGTCGCGACGTGCGTATACGCACGCTCTCTCCCCCATCGGGCTTCTCTCTCTCATTAACTCTCCTTCTCTCTCCTTTCTCCTTGCCTCCCCCCTTCCCAATCATTGAGCCTGGATAGCGAGGAGCGAAGTGGCAACGTTCAGTACGCTCGTGCCCTCTCGACGAGCACGAAGTCGCGTTGTCGTCGTCGGTCGAGTTTCCCGCGAGGTCGACCCTTCTTGGAAGAAGCGTCGTCTGTGAGAAAGGGATAGAAGGAGAGAGAGAGAGAGAGAGATCGATCGTCCAGGTCCCGTGGATTAAAGCCGCGCGCGACGTCAGGTAAATGAGCGTTTCCCGGCGCATCTTCGCATCCTCCTTTCGGAGCTGCTCCGAAAATCGAAGCGATCGAGAAACCCCGAATCGATCGCACCGATCGCGTTTGATCGCCCTATATTCGCCGGTGCGGGTGTACGAGGTGTTCGGCAAGGTGCGTACACGCCCAGGGAGGGAACTCGCTCCCCGAGCGAATTTGGGATACACAGGAAAACAGGTTTAAAACGATCAAACAGCTGTTTAAATTCCATTGTGTTACGAATCACTTGCTTTCGCTTACAATTAAACTCGAATTTCTTCATGAATTTGCAGCATTATCGAGATTCTTTTCGAAATGATATGTGATGAGAGGTCGGCTAAAGATGATCCTATTAATTATTAATATTTATTTAGTATTCGTATTTCGATAATTGTTTTCAAATTCTATTAAATTATAATAGAATTTATTGTAAATTAAGTGAAGCCAAGGGATTTTTTTCTTTTATAAATGTATATTTGTGTAAATCGATTATTCGTTTACCATATTCGCCGATTATGGACATCCTGTCAAGAAGCAAGAAATTAATTATAATTTTTCTTTGCTTATTTTTTTAAAAAGGTTTATTGAACTTTTCCTTCTCTTTACAAGCGCGGATATTATTAGCGTTGACTGTAAATTACGCATTGTCTATAGCATTTACGGGTGAAAAGACAGTTTACATAGTTCACACGTATACATAGACAAT